TACAGCCTTGGAAACCCTATGGGGCAGTTCTACTGTGTCCTATAGGGTCGCTGAGACAGAATCAATTCGACAGCAATGGGTTTGGGGTTTTTTTGGTTTGCCAGCAATGTACAAGCTTTCCTGTTTCTACACATCCTCAGTAATGCTTGCTATTTTCCACTCTTAATTATAGTCATCTTAGTAGGTCTGAAGTTGTACCTCACTGTGGTTTTGATTTGCATTTCCCTAATGACTAATGACATCGAATATCTATTCAGCTGCTCCTTTGCCATTTGTATATCTTTGGAGAAATATCTATTCAAGTCTTTTGCCTGTTTTTTTAAATAGTGTTGTTTGTCTTTTTGTGGAGTTGTTGGAGTTCTTTATATATCCTGGATACACGTATCTCATCAGAGATATGATTTGCAAATATTTCCTCCCCATTCTGTGGGTTGTCTCTTCACTCTCTTGATGTGTCCTATAGGGTCGCTATGAGTCAGAATCCACTCGACAACAGTGGAGGTTTTTTTGGTTTGATGACTAATGAAAGGAGCCTTGGTGGTGCAGTGCTTAAGTGCTCCTCATTCACTGAAAGGTGGTTGTTGGAGCCCATCCAGCAGCTTCACAGAAGAAAGACCCAGTGATCTGCTCCCATAAAGATTACAGCCTAGAAAACCCTATGGAACTGTTCTACCCTGTCACATGGGTTCCCTATGAAACAAAATTGACTCGAAGAAATCTAACAACGGCAACAATAGAGGCTAATGAAGCTGAGCATCATTTCACGTGCTTATTGGTCATTTTTATATCTTTTTTTTTTTTTTTGAGAAATGTGTATTCAAGTCCTTTGCCCATTTTTAAATAAGATTGTCTTTATTTTTGAGTTGCAAGAGTCCTTTATATATTCTGGATACTAGACCTTTATCATATGTATAATTTGAGAACATTTTATTCCATTTTGTAGATAGTCTTTCCACTTTCTTGATAATGTCCTTTGATGTGCAAAAACTTTTTAATATTAAGTCCAATTTATCTATTTTTTCTTTTGTTGCTCATGTTTTTGGTGTCATATCTAAGAATCCAAAGCCAAAATCAAGGTCATGACAATTTATTCCTGTGTTTTCTTCTCTTATATTTAGGTCGTTGATCCTTTTCAAGTAAATTTTTGTATATGGCATGAGAAGAAATCTGAATGAAATGAGGGGAATCGCCCTGGTGAACAAGAGAAGCCTCTTCCAGTCAGATGGAACAGCAAGTCCAAAGGGCCTGAGGTAGTATTGTACTTGGAACGTTCCCTAACCATATAACAAGTGAGTGTAGAGAAGTGAGTGTGGAGAAAATAGTAAACGATGAGATTAAAAAAAAAAAGTTATAGGGAGCCACGTTATGTTAGCTTTTGGGGCATGGCATCTACCTCTGTTCTCTGTTTTCTGGGAAATTACTGGAGAGTTGGAGTTTAGCAGCCACATGATCTGATTTTTTATTTACCCAATTGGTATACTATACAAGGGTCAAAAGTAGGAGCAGAGGGTCCAGTGAGAAATGAGGTTAACTTGAACTGAGTTAAGAGCATTGCAACGGGTAAGAAGTTATAAGATACAGGATATATTCTGAAGGTTGTGTTGATGCAGCTTTATTGGAAATAATTGCTGAGGAAGAGAGTGGGATTTTGGATGACTACAGTCTTTTATTTTGCTCTGGAAATCTGGATCAATAATAATGTCATTTACTGAGGTAGAAAATATAGGAAGGAAGATATATGAATTTTGTGGGTGGATTTCAAGATGTCAGTTTTGGACACTTTAAATTGTAGATGCCTATTAGTCATCCAAGCAGAGAAGTTGAGTAGGTAGCAGGCTGGAGTTTAACGGAAATATCAGCCTAGAGATATGCATTTGTCAGTCATCATCACATAGCTGCTATTTAAAGCTAAAGACGTAGAAGAGATCACCTCAAGCAAATATTTGAAGAATGTATTTCTGCTAGCATTTTAGTAATATTTGAATCTCGTCATTTTTCATATAGTGAGTAATGGTGAATAGAGAGAAAAACACACCATGTATATCTTTTTCTGTCTCTGTATCTCTATCTCTATATTATATCTATCTGTCTGTCTGTCTGTCTACCTACCTACCTATCTATCTATCTATCATCTATTATCTACCCACAGAGACTTCTATGTACAACTGCAGGGAAAATGAAAATATATCATGCATTTTCTTGAATAAACACACTAGAATATCTCTGATTTCTTACAAGCTAGTACATATTTCCTTCTAACTTATACATAATTGAAAGCAGCAACAGCTTACGGTCATAAGAACTTTTTTATATGATAGTTAAAAATCCTCTTGTACATGTTTTTATTAGTCAGAAACATCCCATTGAAGTCAAAAGCAAATGGCAAGAGCAAGAAATTTCATTAGATTTTAAATTAGGGCAAATAAATTTCCATCATATTATCAGAGAAAAAAAAAAAAAAACCAACTCATAGCGACCCTATAGGACAGAGTAGAACTGCCCCATAGAGTTTTCAAGCAGTGCCTGGTGGATTTGAACTGCAGGCTTTTTGGTTAGCAGCTGTAGCTCTTAAGCACTGTGCTGCCAGGGTTTCACATCATATTCTGGTTGCTAATAAATTCAATTCAATTAAACATACATTCATTGCCCGCCTACTACATATGTGCCTGGCGCTGTGCTAAGAGTAAGGTCACAGAGATAAGCAGAAACAGTCATAGACTCTGGATTCCACGTCTAGTAGGGAAGAACTTTAATCCAATAATCTCGCTGATGAGTGTATAGTTACACACTGAGATAAGAGATTTGAAGGGTAAGAACATGGATCCATAAAGCATAGACAACAATAACTGATTCAGTCTAAGTCAAAGATGACTTCCTGAGGGAGTGACACTTGAACCCCGTGGAAAAGCAGGAGTTTACCAATTAAATGAGGGCTCGGGGATGGGCACTGTGTATCCCAAGAAATGAAAAAAGCCCAGTGTAGATGGAGAACAGAGAAGAAAGATGAGAGATAAGGCCACCAGCACTCTTCTTCGTTCTGTTATGTGACCTTAGGAAGATACGTTTACATTTTCATATGATTCACGTTATCACCCGGAAAATTTGTTGATGTTTTGATTATCTCAAAGATCTCATTCACTCAGAAATTACAGAATTCTAGAATTTCAGTTTACACTTTTAAAGTTAAGGGAGCTGTCCATGGTTCTAGAAAGTAACAGTAAAAGTGAGTTTGTCTAGGACGAGGTCCCACACCTGATTATACTTCAGAATCACTAAAAAGCCACAACCCAGATACACTGAATTTTAATCCCCGAGACTGGGGTCTTTGAATCTGTATTTTTCACAGGTGTCAGTAACTAGGTGAATCTGACATGTAATCCACAAAAGAGCTTTCTGGGACCACTGTCAAGAGTAGAGGTTTTCAATTTCAACTACATATGTATGAAATACATGGAGAATTTTAAAATTATTCACAACCAGACCCTTCTACAAATAATTACCCTTTGCCTTCAAGTTGATTCCAACTCATAGGGATCCTCTATAGAGTAGAATTGCCCCATAGAGTTTCCAACGAGCAGCTGATGGATTCAAACTGTTGACCTTTTGGTTAGCAGCCAAGCTCTTAACCACTGTACCATCTGGGGGAGAAATCCAGTAATAAGCATTTTTTTCAAAGCTCCACAGGTGATTTTCAATTAGGAGATGAGAATTGAATTAGTAAATAAGAATATTGTACATTTTTATGTGCAAAATGAATCTCCAAAAAGTTTACCTACAAAAGGTCTATAGCGTCAACACACACCCATTAAAGGACAAAACTATTTCACCAAGGACACTTGAATCAACTGAATTCAGAACATATGGGTGCAAATATTCAGACTTATCTATTATTATATATTTTTATAAAAATGTTATTGAAAACCTGGAAAAAATTGTTAAATGAAAACTGATGAGTACCAATAACTTTATAACAATATTTTCCCCATCAAAAATGTATCTAGTCAGGAAAAGTTTAATCACAATATTTTGGTTGAGGAAATAGTGTCTAATAATTCCTGGTGAAAGCAAACCAAATCCTAAGTGTCAATTTAAAGTCTCATTTTTATAGATCAGCAAGAATATAGATATTTTGGATTTGAGGTAATAATTAATCATATTTCGCTTTCTATACCACTGGATTAGGAGCCATTCAATAAGTGAAACCAATAATCAGGCAGATGAAAATAAGATAAACACATCAGCTTTATTATTGTTACAAACAAACACACCAAACAGAATATGGAAAACATAATTTGGGAGGAAAGCTACAATCCAGCTTTTGATATGTTCCTGGAAGTATAAACCATGGAAGATGATACCTTCATGGGAAAGCCATTTATCCTTCCTTGGGGAAGAATGAGTGAGAAATAGAAGTTAAAAATATTTCTTTCATTTTTTTTTTATCCTAAGTATGGAAGTATAAGTTTCACTCCCAGTATGAGAACATGTAGAGTGAAATATAAGTGTTCCCTATTATAAAGGGATAGTTTAATTTTTTAAAAAAATATTTATTCTAAAGGGAACTACAAATAAAATGAGAATATGACCATTTGTTAGCTCTGAAATTATACTTCTTTCAGTGATTATGTTCAGCACCAATTTATCATGCATTAAAATGAAAGAAGACTCTGTAAACAATGTTAAGGAAATCTAAAATTGGGCCCAGCTATAAATTATTTCACATTAATTTACAAAACTGCTTTTGTATTCATTGTAAATCTTATTGCTTTTTCAAAGTAGCTCCAACAAAAGCTCACTTCTGCTCACCAGGACAGCAGTCCCAGAGCACTATGTTCCTGGCAAAAAGTGACAATTCCTTCAACTTTAGAAACAGGCTCACCTTACCTTGCCTCTGACCTGATTTCAATGTACTGTTTTTTCATAATATCCCAATCAACCAGTTGATTAAATACATTCAATCAACTAATTCATCAAATGGGTATATAAACTGATGGATTATCAGACTGATGTTATTCATCAGGAAGAAACAACCCAAACTGAATGTTTAGAAAGTACATGAATATCCACCCAGGACTGTGATTTTTAATGTCCTCAGGGTGCTGTCCTGGTTCTTTCTACAGGAGACCCTTGTACCAATGTCTCTGCCAATATCTTGCTTATGATGGAGAATCAATAATTACTGAACAATATAAATAAAATGAAATTATCTGGCTAATCTTAACATAACCTAAGAAAGAGCTCAAATTCACAGCATCTGACTTCTGCACTTCTACATGCCTATGAGTGGTCGTTGGGGCTACTCACAATTCTCTCAACAGTCAAAAAGCAATAAAACTGAATGTAAGAAAAAAAACTGTGGCAAATAAAATGAAAAAAACCTGTAGTCTGCTGTAACTGTTACTAACAAAAGCAAATATGAAAAAGAAAATTGGTCCAAAAAGCAGAATATGAGGCAAAGTAGTGAAATATTGCTGGATGTTGGAAATATAAAGGCCTCTAAGGAGGGCTGAGTTAACAATTATAATATTGGTAGTAGTTGTTGATGTGGAAACAGTGTTGGTAGTGGAAATGGTAGAAGAAGTAGTAATAGTATTATTATTTTTTTTTATTGTACTTCAGGTGAAGGCTTACAGAACAAATAGTTTCTCATGAAACACTAGTACACATATTGTTTTATGGCATTGATTAACAACCCAACAACATGTCAACCCTCTCCCCTCTCGACCTTTTTTTTTTTGGTGAAAATATACATAGCCAAAGATACACACACCATTTCAAAAATTTCTACATGCACAGTTCAGTGACATCGACTATGCTCTCCCAATTGTGCTGCTATTCTCACTTTAGATGAAGGCTTACAGAAAAAAATAGTTTCTCATTTAACAGTTAGTACACATGTTGCCCTATCACAATGGTTAACAACCTCACAACACATCAACAATATCCTTACTCAACCTTGGGTTCCCTATCACCAGCTTCCCTGTCCCCTTCTGCCTTCTGCCCCTTGTCCCTGGACTGCTGT